CACATTCTCTTCTCCCTCCATGTCAGGAAATATTTAATGATCTCACTTCTGACTCGCTCAATTCAAACTCGAGGACATTTTTTATGAGCACAGCATTGAAGAGCTGGAATATTCTGCGCCGAAAGTCTATGAAATATGATAAACATTATTGACACTTTTCCCCAAACAACATACACAGCGTGTTTAAGCGCTGGCATCAGGCACCCCACATGTGGGCCAAGATTTTCTTTATCATAATCATAGAACAAACACTCTCAAATTCTCCTCTTTACCTCCCTCCCTCCCTGGCACCTTCTCTCCATTGCTTCAAAACCCTGGAACTCTCTCCCTCTGCCTCGTCCCCACCTTCCCCATCTTCAGATTGCGCCTGAAGACTTTCCTCTTCGACCGGTGCCTACGGTCACCTCTCCCTGGCTTGGGGTCGTGCTCCACCAGTGTCGAGCGCTCTGGGACGCTGCCCTACTGTGTGGGACGCTGTGTAAATGCACGTTGTTGTTGAAAAAAACCCCATCTCTTCCTCCATGTTTTCAGTCACGTTCCCTCTTCCCTGTAAAAGGCTTCACGTCAATGGTGGTTCATCAGGTGAGGTGAGTGAGGGACAGTGGGAGCAACGCACAACAGGCTGAGCCATCGCCATGTTCGAAAGGTCACCATTGGTAACAAGATGGCCAGACTGCCTCGCCTGTCAAAAAGGTCACCGGCCGCCACTCCTTGATGACATTGACCCTCCAGCGCAGCACTGGGGTGGGGGGTGGAGAGAGAGAGCGAGAGAGAGAGCGCCGCATTGTCGGAGACCCCGTCCTTCGGATGAGACGTTAAACCTCGCTGTCTCCCCGTCTGTGTCCTGTTCAGATGGACATTAAAGATCTCTCCCACGGCGATGTCGAGGAAAGAGATGGGAGTTTCTCTCTCTCTCTCCCTCCCTCCCTCTCTCTCCTGGTGTCCGGTTTGACAATCCCCCCCCCCACCCCAGGAATAATCGCTCTTTCACCTCACCTCAGGGCTGTTTGCGAGGCCTCAACTGTGATCAAGATGGCTCCCAAGACCAGAAACGAGAGAGACAAAGAGAGAGAGAAGGGGACACCCACACACACACAAACCAGGACCCGCGGAGCCAGGCTGACTCACCGAGCCGGTTGCGAGGGGACAGAATCCGGGGTTAGGAGCCAGGAAAGTATTAGCTAATAAAAGAAGACACAGTTCTGACGAAAGGTCATTGACCTGAAACGTTAACTCATTTTCCTCTCTCCATAGATGCTGCCTGACCTGCTGCACGTTTCCAGCAACTTCTGTGTTTATAAAGGATTAGGTAATGTTGGTTTTAATGGCGTCCGTCCATACAAGGTTCTGCTTGAAGCTCCTCATTACCAGCTCCACCACATCAACAACATTTCCCCCTGAGAATTCCTTGCCTTTTAAGTCCAGTTTCTGGTCGGATTCAATGCACAATAATAAACTGTGAGAGAAATGTGTAACTGGTGTGATATGTAGTTTACACCCTAACAATACATTACTATTGGCAACCAAACAGAGGTGTGGGGTGGGGGTGGGGGTGGGGGGAGAAGACAAGAGGAAATAACACACCTAACATGGTAGACGCTAAGACCCCCAACACACACTGTTTACTCCCCCTCTTCCCCTGGAATACAGGAGTGAGAGATTGACATGTGGAATGTGATGATTAACACTTTGGCACCCTGTCGCTTATGTTGGAGCTCTCTACTCTAACCCCATTCCCGTCTCTCGCTCTCTCTCTCTCCCGCCGTTGTGTCTGCGCTGGTGCTCGCTCCCCCACTGGAGCTCTCTACTCTAACCCCATGTGTTAGTCTGGCTCAGTGGTTGCACTCTTGCCTCTGAGTCAGAAGGTTGTGGGTTCAAGCCCCCATATTGGGACGTAGAATCACTGACGCCCCAATGCAGCGCTGTGGGGGGGTGTTGCATTGTCGGAGGTGCCGTCCTTCAGATGAGATGTTAAACCAAGGCCCCGGCTGTCTGCTCAGGTGGACATTAAAGATCCCAAGACACCATTCGAAGGGAATTTCTCTCTCTTTCCCGGTGTCCTGGCCAATAATCCCCCAAATAAAATTGGGCACTCACTCCATGGCTATTTGTGGGACACTGCTGTGCGCAAACTGGTTGCCGAGTTTTGGCCACAGAATATACAGTCAATTCACTTTACAGTGTGTACCGTGAAGTGTTTTGAGATGTCTCGACAACATGATAAGGCGCTGTATCAAATGTGAGGATTATTATTAAAATAAAATCCACTCTGAGACCTGGTGTCTCAAGACGGAGTTGAACGGAGCCGAGTGAGGGTAAGTGGTTGTAATGAAGACTGTCTGGAACTCGATCCCTGGGTGGGGTCTGAAAGTCTTTCAAAGAGGAGATAAGTTTAGATCGGGACAGTCAGAATATTCAGGGACATCCTAATACCAGGGGACATGGTCTGCCATTGAATGGGGGGAACCTCAAAACAAATCTGCGGAAACACAACAACAACTTGCACTTATATAGCGCCCCCCCCCCCCCCCCCACTCCCCATAGCGTCTCAGGGAGCGAGTAGTACATGTAAATGTAATAGTAAAGATCCCATGGCTCTATTCAAAAGTATATCCTGTGAAGCGCTTTGAGACGCCTCGAGGGTGTGATAAGGAGCTCTATGGACAGACAGACAGACAGACAGACAGACAGACAGACAGACAGACAGACAGACAGACAGACAGACAGACAGACAGACAGACAGACAGACAGACAGACAGACGGTGGAAGCAGAAAGTGTTGTTTGTTTCAAGAACAAATGAGAGAGATTTCTGTTGGGGAAATAATATCTGGAGGGGAGACAGTGTACAGTTTGGGACACGACATGTCAGGTCAAGCGACTGCCAGGATGGTGGAAGGCGAATTGGATGGACCTCGATGGTCTTTGGCCAAGAAATTCTAATGTTCTTATTCGAATTGCTCACTGTGACTAAAGGACAATCACAAATCGAGAGCTCCAGTCATGTTGCGGCTTTAAATAGCGGCTGAGAGAAAATTCCAGAACATGCGTTCGCACACATGCTAAATCGGGTTGTGGTGTTGACACATGGTGAAGCTGATCACTCATACTGGGTCAGGTGTGGGGGCGGAGGGGGGGAGTTGGTGAGCTGGGGGAGGGGGAGAGGGGGAGAGGGGGAATGTTCAATGCCAGGTGTCTCCGGTACCTTGACACGCTCTCACCGCTCGCTTGAGATGTTCAGTTGGCTTGGCTCGGGAGATTGTGAGTTTAAGACCACCCCCCACCACTGTCTCCCCCCTCCCCTCCTCTCCGCACCCCACTGCATAGGGGGCTCTGAGCTCAGAGTCCAGGCTGACACTCCAGTGCAGTGATGGGGGGAGAGGGAGAGAGAGAGAGCTGCATTGCCAGTGTCTATTATATGTAAAATTTGGGGGGGGGGAGTTCAGATGATAATAATAATAATTGGATCATTGAGATGCCTCAAAGCGCTTCACGGGATAGACTGTAAAACATAGTATTTTGTGGGCAAAACGCAGCAGCCGATTGCGCACAGCAGCGTCCCACAAACTGTTGTGGATTGAGTGACCACATTTCCAAGGGTAATAAATCCATGAATGTTTGTGGTACACCCCTGTGCGCAATTGTCTGCGGGGGGGGTGGAGGGGTGTGTGGGGGGGGAACACGGGGGAAAGGCTTTACAAAGGATCGGAAGAACCTGATCTTTTGATTTGCTGATCAATATAATTAATCATTAGTGTGTGGTTCGACGTCAGTCACCACACATCGAGCACAGGCATCGCATTGCGTCAACCTCGGGTGAGGAGTTTCAGTTGAGTTGAAGTGTCCTTTAAAGTCGAGTCATTGTTTACGTTGCGTCTCAGTAAGACTGAAGGGGTCATTCAGGACGAAAGCCTTGTGCCAGCCTGACTCAACCCCTCGCTCGGAGTCGGGAGGTTGTGGGTTCAGGCCCCATCTCAAAGTTGCGGCTGCTTCTTCAACGCAGTCCTGGGGGGGGAGAGAACATTGCGTTGTCAGAGGCCACGTCCTTTAGAAGGGACATTGAACCTCACTCCCTATTCTGTGCCCTGTTCAGGGGGACTTTAAAGACTCTGTGACACTTTTGGTAAAGAGAAGGGAGTTTCCCTCTCTCTCTCTCTCTCTCTCCCTTGTGTCCTGGCCATCAATCCCCCCCCCCCCCACCAGATTAATCATTCATTGAGTGAGGTGGGGAGAGGGGGGACCTTGCAGTGAACAAATAAAATGACACACAAAATAAACACATACAATTGCAGATAAGAACGGTCCTTCAACTTTTACAGTTGTTTGCGAGGATTTCCCTCAGCCCAAATTTGGCTGCCGCGTTTCGCCTACAAAGCACACAGTCACTACACTTTACAGTGTAACCTGCGAAGCGCTTTGAGACGTCTCGACGCCGTGATAAGGCGCTGTATCAAATGCCAGGATTATTAATTATTATTAATATTATTACTATTCCACACTTGAGCCACCAGTTAATCCAAATTAGAATAAATGATCTGGAATCTAATCTGAGAGATCGAGGAGGAATTTATATATAGAATAACAGCCCCTTCCCCGCCTTACTCCCCCCCAGGAGTGAGTCACAGACCGGAACCTAACCTGGGTGTTGGGGGAGGGGGTTGTGTTATATATAGAATAACAAATATCCTTTATTCTTATTCAGTTACAAGTTTGTGAGTTGAGTTAACGAGTGCAACTTGTGAGTTTATATCTCGCATTCCCCGACACTCAACTCACAGAGGAAAGCCCTAAATCACCAGACAAAATCTCAGCCCATTTTCCTTGAATGTAACTCAGGGTTTGATGTCCACTCAGTAGACAGAGACTGAAATAAGATAACAGCGAGCAACTGGGTGGGAGGATTCAGTGCGAGAGACTGACAGCATTGAAGACCCTATAGTGTGGCTGAAAGGGGAAAGTGGGGGCGAGGAATGGAGTGGAGGTGGGAGGGGGGGGGCTGGGCTGTATTTATAGTAGGAGATTAGAGTTCTTCGTTGTCAGTCCATTCGGGGTGTTGAAGAGAGAGCAGGAGAAAGAGAAAGGCAAACAGAGAGGGGGAGAGAGAAAGAAAAAGAGACGTAGAGAGAGCGCGAGTGAGATAGAGAGACAGAGAGAGAGAGAGACGTTAGAGATAGAGAGCGATACACACAGAAGGATATTGTGGAGGAGGCAGTTTGATTGAACCCAAAGGTTTAAACCAGAAACATCATGTCTTTCGCCTCCAGCTCCAGCACCTCCAGCTCTTACAGGAGGACGTTCGGTGGGAACGTGATGAGTTCCCCCCAACTGTCCAGAGCTTCGTACTCCAGTGGGCGCTTTGGGGGGGGCAGCAACGCGGCCTCCAGGGTGGTGATGTCTAAGACCACCACTGGGTCACTGCCCAGCTACACCAGCTTCCGTGCCAAGGCTCCGGTCAGGAGCTACGAGGTGGTGGACTTCAACCTGGCAGACGCCCTCAATCAGGAGTTCCTCCATACCAGGACCAACGAGAAAGCAGAGATGCAACACCTGAACGACCGCTTTGCCAGCTACATCGAGAAGGTCCGCTTCCTCGAGCAGCAGAACAAGATGCTGGTGGTGGAGGTGAACAAGCTGAAGGGGCAGGACACGGGCCGGGTGGGGGACCTGTACGAGCAGGAGATGAGGGAGCTTCGCAGGCAGATCGAGGCGCTGACCAACGAGAAGGTCCGGGTGGAGGTGGACAGAGACAACTTGGCCGATGATCTGCAGAAACTCAAACAGAGGTAAAGCCAGGCCGCAGAGCTGTGCAGGGAGCCACCCCCCCCACCCCACCCTCCCTCCCTCCCTCCCTCCCTCCCCGCTCTCCACCCCCTCCTGATCCCAACCCCCAGCTCGGGTCCAAACCCCTGACTGTCCAGCGCCTTGGGACGTCCTCCCGACGTGAAGGTCAGGCGCTGTGTAAATGTACTTTGTGGTTGTTGTTTCCAATAACAACAATAATCCCGGCATTTGACACAGTGCCTTATCACGCCTTTGAGACGTCTCAAAGCGCTTCACAGGATACACCGTAAAGTGAATTGACTGCATTTTATGGGCGAAAAACAGCAGCCAATTGTGCACAGCGGCGTCCCCACAAACAGCCGGGGATTAAGTGACCAAACACACAAAAATTTTTTTTGGAGGGTTTATTCCCCTCGGAAAGCGATCCACCAATCGACTATTAAGCGGGTTCCTACTTACTGCTGGTAATCAAAGATGTGTGGAGTAAGGAAACTTGCCTGAGGTGTCGCCCCGCCCTGGAATTAAACCCAGGTCCATAAAACGGGCGGGGTGAGGGGTGAGGGGTGGTGGGGAGTGGGGGAGGGGGGAGGGGAAGTGCCAGTAATGAATCAATGCTCTCGTGACCCCCATTCATCAAGAGATAAAAATAACGAAAATAATCCTTGCCTTTGATCTGGCGCCTTCCCCCCTGTCAAAGCGTCTCAGAGCGCTTCACGGGATGTTATAGTCAAGTGTAGTGACTGTGTATATTGTGGGCGAAACGCGGCAGCCAATTGCGCATAACACTGCCCCACAAACAGGAGTGGGATTGAGGGAATCCACTTATATTGTGGAGTCTTTATTATCCGGAAAGTGATCTGACAATCGGCTAATACCCGAGTTCCTAATTACTGCTGAAAAACAGAGCTGTGTCTGTGTGTGTGTGTGTGTGTGTGTCTGTCTGTGTGTGTGTGTGTGTCTGTCTGTGTGTGTGTGTCTGTGTGTCTGTCTGTGTGTGTGTGTCTGTCTGTGTGTGTCTGTGTGTGTGTGTGTGTGTGTGTGTCTGTCTGTGTGTGTGTGTCTGTCTGTGTGTGTGTGTCTGTGTGTCTGTCTGTGTCTGTGTGTGTCTGTGTGTGTCTGTGTGTGTGTGTGTGTCTGTGTGTGTGTGTGTCTGTGTGTGTGTCTGTGTGTGTGTGCGTGTCTGTGTGTGTGTGTCTGTGTGTGTCTGTGTGTGTGTGTCTGTGTGTGTCTGTGTGTGTGTGTCTGTGTGTGTGTGCTGTGTGTGTGTGTGTGTGTGTCTGTGTGTGTGTGTGTGTGTGTCTGTGTGTGTGTGTGTGTGTGTGTGTGTGTGTGTGTGGTGTGTGTGTGTGTGTGTGTGTGTGTGTCGTGTGTGTGTGTGTCTGTGTGTGTGTGTGTCTGTGTGTGTGTCTGTGTGTGTGTGTGTGTGTGTCTGTGTGTGTGTCTGTGTGTGTCTGTGTGTGTGTGCGTGTGTGTGTGTGTGTGTGTGTGTGTCTGTGTGTCTGTCTGTGTGCCTGGTGTGTGGAGTGAGGAAACTTGCCTAAGGTTTTGCCCTGACCTGACCCGCCCGGGAATCAAACCCGGGTCCTCTGGCTTACGAGGCGAGTGTCTGATCACTGAGCGACAGGGACTCCACATTTTAAGACAGAAACGGATGCTCACCCGGTGTGAGGGGGGAGAGACGGGTGGGGGGAGACGGAGTGGGCGGGTGGGGGGAGGGAGACGGGGGTGGGGGGGGTGGGAATGAGAGACGGTTGGCTCAGTTGACGAGGCTGCGTTTGCGCCACAGGTTACAGGAGGAAATCCAGCTGAAGGAGGATGCCGAGGGCAACCTGGCAGCGTTCAGACAGGTGAGGTTCACGCTTGGTCATGGGTAACGTATGTAGCACACGGAGAGCCATGATCCTCTCGGCACCGGGTGGTCACGGATGGACGTCAGGTGATCCTGAGGCAAAGCGAAGACGGGGCTCGGTGTAAAGGTGGCCACATGGGGTTTGGGGTGGGGTTTGGGATGGGGATTGGGGTGGGGATTGGGGTGGGGTTTGGGGTGGGGATTGGGGTGGGGATTGGGGGTTGTTTCTAATTGTACCCGCAGTGGGTGGTACGGTCTCTGTGCCCTGTATCTCGCTCGATCGCTGACTCCCTGTGAAACCCGCCTCTCTCCCCCCCTCTCTCTCCCTCTCTCCCTCCCCCCCCCCCCAGGATGTGGATGCTGCCACCCTCGCCCGCATTGACCTGGAGCGTCGCATCGAGTCCCTGCACGAGGAGATCGCTTTCCTGAAGAAAATCCACGAGGAAGTGAGTGAGGGGGCAGAGTAGCGCATCCCCCCCACCCCCCCGGGCCCCCCCACACCTCCACTCCCTGCTCCTTACGGCCCCCCCACCCCACGTTGCACACCCTGCCTCCTGTCCTGTGTGGCAGCCTGGCACAGTGGGTAACGCTCTCTCTCTCTCTCTCGCGCTCGGTGTCCTGGTCGACAATCCCCCAAATAAAATCGGTCGCTCGCTCCCAAGTCCCTCCCCCAAAAAACAAACAAAATAATAATGTGGTCACTCAATCCCCGGCTGTTTGTGTGGGGGACGCTGCTGTGCGCAATCGGCTGCCGTGTTTCGCCCACAAAATACACAGTCACTACACTTTACAGTGTGTCCTGGGAAGCGCTTTGAGACGTCTCGAAGACGTGATGAGGCGCCGGGTCAAATGCCAGGATAATTATTATTGTTATCTCTTGATTAACAAAGTAATGAATTAACATTAAGAAACAGTATCCAATGGCGGCCTTTAACATAGGGATTGCCGGACGAACAAGAGACCAAAAGTCCACCTAGTTCTCCCTGTACCCCCTCCTGGTAGTCACAACAACAACAACTTGCGCCCTTCACGCGGGACAGTGCCTCAGAGCGCTGACCTGATCACGTGCTGTAACGAGACGCTGTGCGCATTGGTTTCAGGAGTTGAGGGAGCTCCACATTCAGCTCCAAGAGCAGCAGGTCCAGGTGGAGGTGGACATGACCAAGCCAGACCTCACCGCTGCCCTGAGGGACATCCGCTCCCAGTATGAGACCATCTCAGCCAAGAACGTGCAGGACGCTGAGGAGTGGTATAAGTCAAAGGTAAGGAATCGTTCTTCGTCAAACCCATGGCTCAGCATTGGCCAAGTAGCGTCACCGTGACCGGCCGGGTGGCTGACACACACGGAAACCCGTCACCGTGACCGGTCGGGTGTCTGACACACACACACGGAAACCCGTCACCGTGACCAGCCGGGTGTCTGACACACACGGAAACCCGTCACCGTGACCGGCCGGGTGTCTGACACACACGGAAACCCGTCACCGTGACCAGCCGGGTGTCTGACACACACACACAGGGAAACCCGTCACCGTGACCGGCCGGGTGTCTGACACACACACACAGGGAAACCCGTCACCGTGACCGGCCGGGTGTCTGACACACACACAGGGAAACCCGTCACCGTGACCGGCCGGGGGTCTGACACACACGGAAACCCATTGTCGTGATACCAAAGCCTGGAGGGAGGATCCTGTTGATGGTGGTTGACCTTTAAGCCGAGTGCCTTGCGATGTGTTTCCAGGTGGCGGATCTGAACCAGACGGCTGTCAAGAACAATGAGTCAGTGAGACAGGCCAAACAGGAGGCCATGGAATACCGTCACCAGATCCAGACCTACACCTGTGAGATCGATGCCCTCAAAGGCTCTGTGAGTGTCCGCGGAGGTCACACCCAGCCCCGCCTTCCCTCTCAGCCCCGCCTCAACGACGACAACAAATTACATTTACACACTGGGAGGATGTCCCGAGGTGCGGGACAGAAAGGGATTTGCCCCATCAGAGGCAACGGAGCACAGGGAGGCCATTCGGGCTGTTCTGCCAGTTTATTAGATCATGGCAGATCCTTTAAACCCATTTCAGTGCCTCTTCCCCCCATTCCCCCAATTCCCCCTAATTCCCCCCATTCCCCCATTCCCCCCAATTCCCCCCATTCCCCCTAATTCCCCCCATTCCCCCTAATTCCCCCATTCCCCCAATTCCCCCCATTCCCCCAATTCCCCCCATTCCCCCCATTCCCTGACCAACACTGTAAATGAGCCAATGTGCAGTGTTATCAGTGCAACACTGACATCTGGTGGTCACACACGAGTACTGCACTGTCTCCAATTCCTATAATGCCCATTGCTCCAATGTTTAAATAGACATCAATCTCTCACACACAGACACACACACAGATAGACACAGACACAGACACACACACACAGATAGACACAGACACACACACAGATAGACACAGACACAGACACACACACACAGATAGACACAGACACAGACACACACACAGACACACACACAGACACACAGATAGACACAGACACACACACAGACACACACACAGACACACAGATAGACACAGACACAGACACACACACAGACACACACACAGACACACAGATAGACACAGACACAGACACACACACAGACACACAGATAGACACACACACAGACACACAGATAGACACACACACACAGACACAGACACACAGATACACACAGAAACACACACAGATAGACACACAGACACACACACACAGACACACACACAGACACACAGATAGACACAGACACACAGACACACAGATAGACACACACACACAGACACACACAGATACACACAGACCCACACACAGACACACAGAGACACACACACAGACACACACACAGACACACACACAGACACCCACAGATACACACAGACACACAGATAGACACAGACACACAGATAGACACAGACACACAGATAGACACACAGACACACACACAGACACACAGATAGACACAGACACACAAACACACACACACAGACACACACACACAGACACACACACAGATAGACACACAGACACACACACACAGACACACACAGTTACACACACACACATACACAGACACACACAGATACACACAGAAACACACACAGACACACACAGACAGACACATAGACACACACAGATAGACACACACAGATGGACAGGACAGGCTGAGGACACGTGTCGATGCGTAATACTGAGGGACATGTCTCAGGACGCCACCTCCAATGTTTTGCCCACAAACTACAGTCACTACACTTTGCAGTATATCCTGTGAAGCGCTTTGAGACGTCTTGAAGACGTGATGAGGCGCTGCATCAAATGCCAGGATTATTATTATTGTTATTAATGAGTGCTCTCCCTGCACTGCACTGGAGTGTCAGCCTGGAGTGGGAGCTCTAAGTCCCACCGTGAGTCTTTCTCTCGTCTCTCTGCCACTCTCTTCCCCCTCTTTCTTTCTTTCTTTCTTTCTCTCTCTCTCTCCCTCCCTCCCTCCCTCCCTCACTCACTCACTCCTCTCTCTCACTCTAATTTTCCTCTCTCTCCCCTTTCACTCTGTCCCTCCTCCTCTCTCTCGTTCCCTCTCTCCGAGCAGAACGAGTCCCTGATCAGACAGATGCGGGAGTTGGAGGAGCGCTTTGGCCACGAGGCCGCTGGCTACACCAACACCATCGCTCGGCTGGAGGAGGAGATCCGCCACCTGAAGGACGAGATGGCAAGGCACCTGCGGGATTACCAGGACCTGCTCAACGTCAAGATGGCCCTGGACGTGGAGATTGCCACCTACAGGAAGCTGCTGGAGGGAGAGGAGAGCAGGTGTGTGTCCAATGGCCCCCAACAACAACAACAACAACTTGCATTTACACAGCGCCCCTCACGCAGCACAGGGCAGCGTCCCAGAACACTTGACAGTGGCGGAGCTCAACCCCAAACCGGGGGGAGGGAGCGAGGGAGGGAGCGAGTGACCTTAGGCACTGGTAGAAGAGGAAGGTCTTCAGACGCGATCTGAGGATGGGGAAGGAGGGGCCGAGGCGGAGGGAGAAGTCTCATTCTCGATTGCCTGTACTCCTGCGATGACATGTTTCTAATTAAGTTATGATTTTAATTACTTTTTTTTTCCACACATCGATCGCAGGATTACTCTCCCGGTGCAGACCTTCTCATCGCTGAGTTTCCGAGGTAGGTACCTGACCATCTGGTCCAAACCTGGGGAACAGTCAGGTTAGACGTCTCACCATCCTCTCAACATCAAACTCTGTCCGGCTAGACTTGAGATCAGGGAATGTTTCCTCCCACAAAGGGCGTCAGCGGAGGGATTGAGCAGACTGGGATGGACTACAGGGGCAGAGAGTTGGAATGGATTGAGGGTTGTTGAGAATTGCAGAGGAATTAGATCAAAATAGGAACATAGGAACAGGAGGAGGCCATTCAGCCCCTCAAGCCTGTTCCGCCATTCTATTAGATCGTACCTGATCTGTACCTCAACTCCATGGTCGCCCAGGACACTGACTCGGTGAAACTCCCTTCTCCTTTCCAGTACTTTTAAAGATGGGAATTCCAAAATGTAATAAATACGGTGGAACAGGCTGGTTGGGCCAAATGGCCTCTTTGTGTTTTTCCCAATTCCCATCCTCTCTGCGTGCAGAGTTGGGGTGGGGGTGGTGGGAGGGGGTGGGCGCGAGGCTCACAGATTAACGCTAGTCGCTGTGTGTTCTTCCTGCAGAGACCAGCCCAGAGCAGCCCCGTTTCTCTGAGGTTCACACCAAGAAGACCGTCACCATCAAAACCATTGAGACGAAGGACGGAGAGGTGAGTGTGTGACCTGTTCACGATAGTGACTGCACTTCTTGTGTGATGCCTTCTCATCTGAGCGTTGACTGTTCTCCTGGGAATCCAATCCCCGTGTCTCGTCTTTTCTTGCAGGTGATCAGTGAATCCACACAGCAACAGCAGCAGGAACTGCCTTAGAGCCCCCGCCCCGGGGGGCGAGGGATGGAGAGGGGGGGAGAGAGACCCAGCGAGGGGGCCGAAAGTCAACGTATCCCCTTCACCCAGCCCCGACCGACTGACTGACTGACCGACAGCCCACACGCCACCCATCAGTGCCTCCGAGTCGCTCACTGTAAACTCCGTCACCTGATGACAACACTGTAATGTCATGTATCACTAGTCTGTAACGGTAGCCAGTAATACTGGCTGTAATGTCATGTAATACTGACTGTAATGTCATGTAATACTGACTGTAAAGTCATGTAATACTGGCTGTAATGTCATGTAATACTGACTGCAATGTCAGGTCATAACGGTCTGTAATGTCATGTAATAATGGACTGTAATGTCATGTAATACTGATTGTAATGTCATATAATAAGGGACTGTAATGTCATGTAATAATGGACTGTAATGTCATGTTAACACACACGTAGCCCTGGCTGACGAGTCTCACTGATAAAAACCAAACACGAGGAGGGAATGGAATTAAAGCAAAATATATTTCATCCTCTGCGGTTTTTCCTTGACACGTTTGTGTAATTTTCAAGAACGACAGATGCACATACATGTTTACATGTTGACACAGCGCCCGACATGCGTGGTGAGCTCTCGCGGCGCCTTACAGTGGCTTTGGGGGGAGAGGGGGTGAATCCCGAGTGGGTGGGGGGGGGGGGGGGGGCAGGAGCCGGCAGTGCGGGAGGGTTTTGTTTGCTGTCAACAAGGCGGTCAATGTCACAGGCGATAATTAGCTTTGATGGTGACATCAGAGCTTAAATTCCACCCTCCTCCTCCCCCCACTCACCCCCCACCCTCTGAAGGGTTTCAAATACCGTCAAGCCAGTTTTTTTTCGGGGGGGTTTGGGGTTGGGGGGGAATTGTTATGGTTAGTCTTACCCCCATTTTTTGTTTCCGATGTGGGCGCTGACAGTGTCTGTCTATGAGCTTCGGAACCCAGTGTCCATAGAGTGTGGACCAACCTGCCAACCAATGTCAATCACAGAGCCAAGGTAGGAGGCTCACTCGTGTGTGCGTGTGTGTGCGTGTCTGTGTATGTGAGTGTCTGTGTGTGTGTGTGTGTGTGTGTGTGTGTGTGCATCGGGACAGGACAACAACAGCAACATCAACACATTACAGTTACAGTTACAGCCTTCTCACCTCGGGAGGAACGTCCCAAGGCCCTGGACAGTCAGGGATTTGGGCCCGAGCTGGTGGTTGGGATCAGGAGGGGTGGAGGGATGTCAGGGAGGGTGGGGGGCGGGGTAGGAGTGCGACCTAAGGCACGGTCAAAGAGGAGGGTCTTGAGATGGGTCTTGAAGGAAGGGAGGGAGGACAGGATCTATCTTGGCTGTGTGGTTGGAGTTGGACAAGCTGGATCCCAACATGCAGCTCGTAGTGTTGTGTGTGTGTTCCCCCCCACCCCCCCTGCTACCACCACCCTCCCTGCTAGGTCCAACAATCCCATGGCTGGATCTAGCTGCTCTCTGCCAACGTGTGTCTGTCGAACAGGTACTCGGCCATGCTGTTGGCGGGGGCTCCCAGCCTCTCCAGGCGGGAGATGTAGCCCCCCAGGGTCTTCATGGTCTCAGCCTGCTGTCTCAGATAGTCCGTCTCCAAGAAGTGACATAGCTGTAAAGCGAGAGAGAGAGAGAGAGAGAGATTTTTTGGGGGTTCTGACACACGTGGAAACCCAACACTGTTGCTTAAGAGTTTCCAACTGAGAATTCCCGTGTCCCACTTACACATGGAAACCCCAGAGATAGATTGTTGGAAAGGAATGCGCTCGCTCTCTCTCTCTCTCTCTCTCTCCCTGGAGGGACGACCACCCCCCACCCCCCCCCGCTTACCTAATTCTGAAAAGTATTAGGCGCAGGTTGGCAAGAGCCAAGGCTTGGGTTGGGGGGGAGCCCAGAGTGTGTGTTGGGGTAACTGCTGGGGTCTAACCAGCTAAACCCACACAGCTCGGCCATTGATATCGCTGTCTCGCTTACTTGTTGTTGTGTTAGACAATGTAAATCGCAGCACTAGAAAAAAACAATAATAATAATCCTGGCATTTGATACAGCTCCTCAACACGTCGTGGAGACGTCTCAAAGTGCTTCACAGGGTACTCTGTAAAGTGCAGTGACTGTATATTTTGTGGGTCAAACGCGGCAGCCAATTGCACACAGCAACGTCCCATAAACAGTCGTGGATTGAGTGACCAAATTATTATTATTGTTATTATTTTGGAGGGATTATCACCCCAGGAACTCACGTAAGGGTCTTTCTTATCACAGCCCAGTTTGTGCAGGTCCAACAGACACTGGTTGATGCTCTTCTCCAGCTGTAGAGCACACTGCATCGCTTCCAGCCCGTTGCTCCACTCATCATTCTCTGGTTTCTGAAGCCACACAGCAGATAGCAGTGAGCAGTGAGCAGATAGGAGTGAGCAGTGAGCAGATAGGAGTGAGCAGTGAGCAGATAGGAGTGAGCAATGAGCAGATAGGAGTGAGCAGATAGGAGTGAGCAGTGAACAGAGAGGAGTGAGCAGGGAATGAGAATCAACTAACAACAACAAATGGCAGTTACCCGGCACTTTTCAGGTCAGGAAGACATCCCGAGGCGCTGGACAGTCAGGGATTTAGACCCGAGCCGGGGTGCGGGAGAGGGGACATGAGCTGCAGAGTTCTGGATGATCTGCAGCTTGTGGAAGGAAGAGTTGGGAAGGCCGAAAGCAGGACCCCTGAGCTAGAGGGAGAGTATGAGCTGAAGGGATTTGGAGGGAGCGAGGCGAGGGGGGGAGGGAAGTGGAAGGGGAGAGGAAGGGGGGAGAGAGGGGGTGTTAACCCAGAGACTCCCACACACTGACCTTGATGTCCTGCAGAATGATGCGTCCGCCTCGCTGGTTCTGGAAGGTCATGAGCTTCTCTGCATTGCTTCTCTCCTTGTGAGATCGTTCCTTATAGAAACCCGAGAAGTGTGGGAGAGCAACATCGTCCCGGTCAAAGTAACAGGACTGGGAACACACACGTACATACATGTCATACACATATCACACACGTATCACACATGTATCACATACATGTACACATATGATACACATATTATTAGAGCATACACATTTCTACATATCGAGGACGTGATAAGGCACGATGTCAAATGCAAGGATTATTATATCGCACCCGCATACAGTAATCATAATAATAATAATCCTGCATAATAATAAGAGTCCCACAGGACTCCACAGACACAGAGGTGGGGGAGGGGGTGGGTAGGGAAGGGGTGGAGATGGGTGGGGTGGGGTGGGGGGGGCGCGGAGTTATCGGGGTTGGGTGGGCAGGAAGAATGCTTACATTTGACACAGTCCCGGAGCGAGAGGAGATGGGGAATGCTCACCATTGAGAGATACACGTAGGAGGCGCAGAGCTCCATGTTAATCATACAGTTGACGGCCGTCTCCAGGTCCCTGGTGTAGTTCTGACGGATGTGTGACTGCATCCTGGTATCCCTTGGCAACCGGCCAGCGGAGATGTGAGTCTGATTCATACAAAGCATCACAGTCATTAAAATTACTACTGGAGGCCATTTGGCCCCTCGTGTCTGTGCTGGGGCTCGCTCCCCCACTGGCGCTCTCTACTCTAACCCCATTCCCTGCTCTCTCTCTCTCTCTCCCCATGGTGTCTGTGCTGGGGCTCGCTCCCCCACTGGAGCTCTCTACTCTAACCCCATTCCCTGCTCTCTCTCTCTCGGTCCCCCCATGGTGTCTGTGCTGGGGCTCGCCCCCCCACTGGAGCTCTCTACTCTAACCCCATTCCCTGCTCTCTCTCTCTCTCTCCCCATCGTGTCTGTGCTGGGGCTCACTCCCCCACTGGAGCTCTCTACTCTAACCCCATTCCCTGCTCTCTCTCTCTCTCTCTCCCCATGGTGTCTGTGCTGGGGCTCACTCCCCCACTGGAGCTCTCTACTCTAACCCCATTCCCTGCTCTCTCTCTCTCTCTCTCCCCATGGTGTCTGGTGCTGGGGGTCGCTGGAGTGAGCGGAAGTGGAGGGTGTTACAGATACTCACTGGTATCTGGGACTCTCAGAGAGAGAGTGACTCCCTGACCTGAGCAGACAGGGTACCTGAGGGGACGTCTCTGGGGACGGGGGAAGGTCACACAAACTGATGGGCGATTGAAGATAAACAAGGGATCGAGATGAGACGTTCCAAGTGACATCACTCTGTTCCGTGGAACCTCAACACGAAGACAGAGCCACAGGGGGCGGCGTATGATGTTCTGAGACGCCTCCCCACGTGAAGGGCGATGGGTAATAATAATAATAATAATAATCCTTGCATTTGATATAGCGCCTCATCACGTCTCAAAAGTGCTTCACAGGTTACGGTGTAAAGTGTAGTGACTGTGTACTTTGTGGAAACGCGCCAGCCAATTGCGCACGGCAGCGTCCCACACGCAGTCGTGGATCAAGTGACCAAACTATCATTATTTTATTGTTTTGGAGGGACTATTACCCTCCGGAAAAGCGATCCGCCAATCGACTGACAACCGGGTCCCTACTGACTGCTCGTAAACAGAGGCGTGCGGGCGGGAGTAGGGAAACCCGCCTGAGGTTTCGCCCTGTCCTGCGGAATCGAACCGAACCCGGGTCCTCTCGCTTGCGAGGCGAGCGCCTGTGTGGGGGGGGTCTGGGTGAGGCTGAGAGAGAGAGAGAGGAGTTTCAGGTCTGTCTCAACCGACCTGGACACGACAGCCGGTCGTTCCCCTCTGCCCAGACTTGCAGAAGGGAATCATCGGCTGCGGTTACAGGCTGTACGCACCGTGATGCTGGTGTGTGCCAGGAGGGGGCGATGGCGCGCCCCGGCCCCAAGCCATGGGCACCAAACCGGTTGTGTTAGCGCAGAGACATGGCCTCGCTGCTCCTCACCCCCAGTCGCTCTCCTTCTAGTCTTCACTGTAACAAAGCGTAGTGACTGTGTATTTTGGGGGCGGACGTGGCAGGTGACTGGGCCCCCCCAGCGACGTCCCGCGGAGGGCCACAAAGCGTGTTTTTCCGCTGTCCCACAAAGGAAACCGGCATCAACTTGAGAAGCTTCGCGCAGGGCGCCTCCTCCCCCAACACTGCCCTGGAGTGTCAGCCTGGACATCCCGTCTGTCTCCGGCCTCACGCCTGTCCCTCCGAGCCTCCGCTCCACCATCGGTAGCCGCGCTTTCAGCCACTCTGTCGCTCTCACCCTCAATCCCTCGGCCTTACCCCCTCCTTCCACATCTTCGGGTTGTACCTGAAGACCCTACTCTTTGACCAGTGCTTACGGTCACCTGCCCCCCAACTCCCCCCCGGCTCGGGGTCAGGCTCCGCCACTGTCAGGCGCTCTGGGACCCTGCCCTCTGTGAGGGACGCTGTTGGTGATGTTGGCGAGGTCAGGGTTTGTGTGTAAAGGAAGGTTATTGACCGGCCAGAAAGGCAATACTTGGCATCACATTGACGAGGGTCCGTCACTGCTCCAGACCCAGGAATAGAGACACCAACAGTGATCATAAAGAGATTTTCTCTCTCTCTCTCTCTGTCTCTCCATCACTTCTGTATGAATTGCTCCTCAGAACCTCTCGTGGCTCAGTGGCATTGTCACTTTACAAATCTCAATTGTGTTAAGAGTTACAGGGATGGGGGGAAGGAGAGAGAGAGAGAGGCAGAGAGACACACAGAGAGAGAGACACACACACACACAGACACACAGAGAGACACACAGACACACAGAAAGAGACACACACACACACACACACACACACAGAGACACACAGAGACAGAGAGACACACACACACACAGAGAGAGACACACAGAGACACAGAGAGACACACAGACACACAGAGACAGAGAGACACACAGAGAGAGACACAGACACACAGAGAGAGACACACAGACACACAGAAAGAGACACACACACACATACAGAGACACACAGAGACACACAGAGAGAGACACACAGAGACACAGAGAGACACACACAGAGACACAGAGAGACACACACAGAGACAGAGAGACACACACACAGACAGAAGAGAGGCAGAGACACACAGACACAAAGAAAGACAGTATGAGAGAGAGAGAGACAGACAGAGAGACAGACAGAGAGAGACGTACACAGACACAAAGAAAGACACAGAGATACGAGTGAGAGACACAGACAAAGAGAGAGAGAGAGAGAGAGGCACATCCACACACAGACAAAGAGACAGTGAGACACACAGAGACAGACACAGAGAGAAAGAGAGGTCTATACACACAAACCAGACGGAGTGAGACAGACACAGACAGACAGACAGTCAGGGGGTGTGGGCTCAGATTTGGTTGGAGCCACAATGTGATGGCGGCTGCACAGCGCCGCTCTCTCTCTCTCTCTCTGTGCTGTCGGCAGTTGGTTGGACCCAACAGTGAGGTCATGGACAACATTTGGAGGTGTAGAGGGTGGGTTTGAGGAGCAGGAACTGGGAGAGGAGCCTCCAACCCCACAACCCCACACAGGACCAGACACAGCCCCGGGCTGGGACAGGAGAGCACAGACACAGGCACAGACAGAGGCACAGACACAGACACAGACAGAGGCACAGACACAGACAGAGGCACAGACACAGACACACAGAGAGCATTTGGTCTCCAGTGAATGGAAAGGGTGACATTAACTAACAATGAACGAGAGAAGGGGAGACCTGGCAATGTGGGTGAGTACAGGTTTGCATCTGCATTCACACAAATACAGCTGTTTATAGTGTGTGTGTGTGTGTGTTTTGGAAGCATTTGTGTGTGTCTGTGTGTGTGTGTGTCTGTGTGTGTCTGTGTGTGTGTGTGTCTGTGTGTGTGTGTATGTGTCTGTGTGTCTGTGTGTGTGTGTCTGTCTGTCTGTGTGTGTGTGTGTCTGTGTGTGTCTGTGTGTGTGTGTCTGTGTGTGTGTGTGTCTGTGTGTGTGTCTGTGTCTGTGTGTCTGTGTGTGTGTGTGTGTGTGTGTGTGTCTGTGTGTGTGTCTGTGTGTCTGTGACAATCTCTTTTAACAATGGAGGGAATAGATTTTTTAAATTCCATTTCACTCATAAAATATACATTCTTTACAAGATACCGCATTCCGTGAAGCGCTTTGAGACGTCTCGAATGCAATGATTATTGTTATTATTATTATTATTATTCCACCCCTTTAAATCAATGCTCGGTTGGGTTGCCATTGATGAACAGTATTTTGGTCAAATTGGATTGATTCCGTGTAGCCAACAGTGTATTGTTTGTGATGGAATATCTCTAATGGGAAGGGGGGGGTTTGTGAGATGGGGGAATGGGGAGATTATGGCTTATATTGAAAGCCACTGAATCTATATATATACATATATTTCTGGTCCTGAGTATTTTTGAGGATGAAATTGATGGAGGTGCTGTGTTGTGTAACAAATACAGAGGCTGGAGAATTTCATAGGGGGACAGAGAGGGGTGGGGGGGGGGAACATAATTCCAATTAGATGGGGTTCTTTCAGGGAGGGTGGGAAGAGAGAGTGAGAGAAAGAGAGAGCGTGAAGGAGTGTGTGCGCGCGTTTTATTTACATTAAAAACAGGACTTCACATCAAAAATAATCCACTGTATTTGGTTCCGTGTATCAGGCGATGTGGGAGCGAACGGGAATGTCGATTTTTATTTGTTTGTTGAGAATCCTGTTATCGTTTGCACAGCAAATATCCATCTCTTGGCCTCTCAATCTCTTTTGTGTTGTGTTTTTTCTCTCTCTCTTCCCACACCTCCCTCCCTCTCCCTCCCTCCCACTCACTCACGCTCTCTCTCTCTCTCTCTCTCCACACCGCCGCCAAAATATTAATTTTTTAAAAATTATGTAACTGAGTAAAATTATTTTACAGGAGCATAGAGAACGATCCGAGCGTGAGAACAGAGAGAGAGAGAGGGACCTTGTAATAACAGGCGGTTTAATAATAATAACCCTCGCATCTCATACGGCGCCTTATCCCGTCGTTGAGACGTCTCAAAGCGCTTCGCAGGATACACTGTAAAGTGTAGTGACTGTTGTGTTTTGTGGACGAAACGCAGCAGCCAATTGCGCACAGCAGCGTCCCCCACAAACAGCCGTGGATTGAATGACCACATTATTTTTTTTTGAGGGATTATTACCCCCATAAAAGCCAATCGGCTAACAACCGGGTTCCTATTTACTGCTGGTAAACAGAGCCGTGTCGCCGATGTGATACGCCGCTATATCAAATGCAAGGATTATTATTAATAAAATAAGAATCAAATACAATTTACATTTACAGAAGTCCCGAGAGGGGCGTCTCGAAGCGCTTCCCGGAGCTGGACGGGCAAACCCGGGGCTAATTTGCAGAATTCTTAAAAGGGTAACGGGAAATGAACGGAATTCCTCGTTTTCCGATCCGGAAGAAGATTGGGTCGGGCGGGAATTCCTCCGGGATCGGAGTGACGTGCTCCCAGATCCAGGAAGGAATCCCCTCCTGTTGCCTGGTTCAGGAATACCGTTAAGGAACACCGCACGTTAGTTAGTTAGTCCCCTGATAAAGCAAGGGCTGAAGGCTTGGGCGCTGATGCGGGGAAACGTAGACCAGAGTCTGAAGAGTGCAGGGGATGGAGAGAAGGATAATAACAATATTAATAAATAATAAGAAAAAAATTGGTCACTCAAACCACAGCCGTTTGCGGGGGACGCTGTCATAACATGATAATGATAATAATAATACTCCTTGTGTTTGATACAGGTTCTTATCACGTCAAAAGTCTCAAATACGACAGGGTGTCATTTCTTTCCCTAAAGTGTAGTGACTGTGCGTTCTGTGGGCGAAACTGGCTGCCAATTGGGAGGGATAATTACCCCCTAGAAAGCAATCTGCCAGTTGACTAACAACCAGGTTCCTACTTACTGCTGGTAAACAGAGGCGTGTGTGTGGAGTGACCCGGGTCCTCTCGCTTGCGAAGCGAGTGCTCCAACCACTACACTGCAGGACTCCGCCAACACAGCACCTCGCACAGGACAGAGGGAATCACTGTGTCTGTAGGCTGTTATAGTCTTATTGCTCCTAACAGGTCGAGCTGTTCCCGTCATCTGCCCTCTAACTGGATTCAGTTTGGTTTTAATGCTAATGGAGTCTTTTATTTTTTGGAGTCCTGTAGCTCAGTGGTTAGAGCTCTCGCCTCGCAAGCGAGAGGACTTGGGTTCACTTTCCAGGCAGGACGAAACCTTAGGCAAGTTCCCTTACGCCACACGCCTCTGTTTACCAGCAGTAAGTAGGAACCCGATATTTGGTTGATTGACGGATCACTTTTCCGGGGGTAAATAATCCCTCAAAAAAGAATAATGATTTGGTCACTCAATCCATGAATGTTTGTGGGACGCTGCTGTGTGCAATCGGCTGCCGCGTTTCACCCACAAACTATACAGTCACCGCACTTTACAGTATATTCTGTGAAGCGCTTTGAGACGTCTTGAAGACGTGATAAAGCGCTGTATCAAATGCAAAGATTATTATTATTAAAGGGAGCGATTGGAGAATTGTCTGGAATGAATGAACAGGAGGATGACAGGTGTTTGTTTTATCCTCACCTGAACCCACGCAGAATTAGTTCCTCCAGAACCGTGAATTAATGAGTTTGAAGGCCAGAGTGTGACTCATTGTCACTGAATATTTAACCAATTCTGCACCTGATCACAAGCTTTGGAAGAAAGAATTTGCATTTCATGGAGTCCTGCAACTTAGTGGTGAGAGCATTTACCTCGCAAGCGAGAGGACCCGGGTTCGATTCCCGGCAGGACGACACGTTGGGCGAGTTTCCTTATTCCCCACACCAGCAGTAAGTAGGAACCCGGTTGTTAGTCGATCGGGGTAATAAAAAAATTGGTCACTCAATCTATGACTGTTTGTGGGGACGCTGCTGTGCACAATTGGCTGCTGCATTTCGCCTACAAAATACACAGTCACTCCACATTACAGTGTATTCATGTGAAGCGCTTTGAGACGTCTCGAACGACGTGATAGGGCTCTGTATCAAATGCAAGGATTATTGTTGTTATTATATTCGGATGCCCTGGTTCAAGATCAGACCCTCTGCTTCCAATGCCCCCCCTCCCCCCCCCTACCCATTGCTCGCCTCTCCAGACGCTTTCACAGTTAATGGATGTCATTTGGAGGCTGAAAGGGAGAGAGAGAGTGTGTAACAAAGAACCAATTGTCATGGTTATCGACTCCTGTTCACGTGACAGCTCCAGCTGTGTTGCTTGCCTCACACTCAGGACACCAGACACAGCAAACCCAACGCCCATTGACCTGGGACAATGTGAAGCGCTTGGAGACGTCTCGAAGACGTGATAAGGCGCTATATCAAATGCAAGGATTATTATTATTTCACTCCTGACCCCCCCCACCCCATGTTAAAGATGAGAGAAAGATGACCCTTCACAGCCCCCCCCTCACTCGGCTGGTTCAAACATCTGACAAGCTTTCCTCGGGGTAATAATAATAATAAGCCTTGCATTTGAAACAGCGCCTTATCATGCCATTGAGACGTCGCTCAGAACTTCACAGAATATACTGTGAAGTGCGGTGACTGTGTGTTTTGTGGGTGAAACGCGACAGCCAATTGTACACAAACAGTGGATTGAATGAACAAAATATCAGAATTTTTGGGGCAAGGGATTGTTACCCCCAGAAAGCTTTCCTGCTTAGCACCTGGATCCCCTTTACCGCTGGTAAACAGAGGTATGCGTGAAGTAAGGAATCTTGCCTCAGGTTTCGCCCTGACCTGCCCGGGAATCAAACTCTGGTCCTCTCGCTTGAGGGGGTAACAGGACATTGTGAACACTCAGTGCATCATATAATAGCATTGCCTTAGCCCTTTGTATGTGCTTGAGATCTGATAAGTTAGCTTAGCCAAGAGGGAGGGAGTGGGGGTGACTCACCAACAAACCCTGCGGGGGTGGGTAGAGGGGCCGGGGGGGGGGGTTGCGGGGGAGGGGAGAGAGTTCCTGCCAGGATTTAGTGCTCGCTGTGCGTCTGTGGTGTACACACAGCAGATTGAGTGTGAGAAGATGTGAGTTGGCTGGTGACTGCATGACTGGGCTGTGTGATTGTTCGTGGAATCCCAGAGGAACGTGGCTGCAGCTGAACGCGTAGGAACAGGAGGAGGCCATTCAGCCCCTCGAGCCTGTTCCGCCATTCTATCAGATCATGGCTGATCTGTACCTCAACTCCAATTACCCGCCTTTGCCCCATATCCCTCGATCCCCCGACCTGACAAACATCTATCACCTCAGTCTGGACAATGTGACTGGATCCAGCCATAATCCCCAGCCTTTTGGGGGAGAGATCGAGAGATTCCCACTGGTCTTTGGGTGAAATAAAGGAGAAAGTTATACAATAATAATAATCCTCGCATTTGATATAGCTCCTTATCACGTCTTTGAGACGTCTCGCAGCGCTTCACAGAATACACTGTAAAGTGTAGTGACTGTGTATTTTGTGGGCGAAATGTGACAACCAATTGTGCACAGCAGCGTTCCCACAACCAGCCGTGGAATTGAGTGACTAAATTATTATTATTTTTGAAGAGATCCGCCAATCAACTAACAACTGAGTTCCTAGTCACTGCGAGGTAAACAGAGGCGTGCGGAGTAAGGAATAATGCCCCAGGTTTCGCCCTGCCCGGGAATCAAACCCAGGTCCT